CAATGAATATGGTAACTTTGTAATCCACTGTGCTCTAAGGGACCTTAGACCATCAGGTTTGTTTTTATATATCATGCAAATAATAATTATCATAGATTGATTTGTACATATACACTTCCTCTATTCATCATTACAGTAGTTGCACTTATTTCATTATACTATTAGACCTTTTCTGAAATACAAAATCATGGTGCATTGTGGTCTACCTTCAGAACAAACACCATATTTGGCAGCATGAACAAAAGGTGTTTGTACCAAATCTAGACCACAATGCAAACTGGTACAATCTCAGAAAAGGCCTATGACATCACTATATCTTTACATAATGACAGGTATTTTCCTAACAAAAACACATATTGCTTTTTTAGGCACAACTGAGCGCAGAATTCCACATACCAATAGCAACCCCATGACACAAGCTTTCAAATTCGTCTCTTGTCCAAATTACATGTATGAGGTACAGTAGAAACTTAGCATTTTCTATTACAATCATTGGCCATAATTATTATATTGTACATGTAACTTTATCACAATTACACTAACTTGCAAAARCRTGTCTGAGAAAACRAGCAAATTGAAATTTACTAAAGGAAGCATTCAGATCCACTASTCTYCTTTAATGAAATTGTATGTTCCCAAATCTGTAATTGTCAGAACAATGTCTTTGTAATTATGTGGTATTACTATAAATTATAAACTTATTGTGTTGGTGTCTTAAGGTTGGAGCTTGGATCTGCTTCACAGTCATGACTCAAACACTGTCAGGTTAGTCTTAAAATGACTTTTGAACAGGAGATATGATAGGGGTTATTCATTGAGCAGAGCATTTTCCACCAGTCTCTGCAAAGAAGAAGAAATGGGGTGGAAATATCCATTTTCTTGCAGGATAGGGAGGGGTTGGAATGCAAATTGGTTCCAGTTAAGTTGATGTTTGTAAATTCAAAATGATTTTTCTCCTTCAGCTGCTTTCTTTACATTTGCTGGYTTTTACCAAATGGCTATCTGGGCAGAAGGCAAACACCGCAACTACAAGAAGGAATTCAAAGATTATCCGAGACAACGTAAAGCTATCCTTCCCTTTGTACTCTAACATTACATGTAAGATAAAGTATGATTCTCTGAAAATCCATGTTACACACTGTAAGATGTACAATGATTTGCGTGTATTTGAAARCCATTCTGACTCAATGTTCTRGTTTTGCCAATGTCATTTTAAYCCACAAAGTGTGAAATAAAATCCAAAAAATATATTTAGTATGTTTGGATGAGTTAAATGTACATGCAGTCAATCAAGATGAGGAAACACTGCTCAAGTTCATTATTTGCAGTACAGTATAAATGATTTCTTTGCACAATTTTTATATCTTTGCATGTCCTTATTACCTCTAGTTTTGAAAGGGTGTTTGGACAAGTAAAAATGTAGGAGGAAGTATAGACTATATCTTTGTAAAGGATCCCAAAACTGGCTCTGAACAACTGACTTATACGAAAACCTTTAGAAACAGAATACACAGGTTCTTGTTGGAAACCAAAAATTGAGCACTGTCTTCCCATGTTCAACTACATGTAGATGTCTTTCATGTGATTTCTCTTTCATGTGATCTCTCGTCACTCTGAATTCAATGATATTGTTGACAAATAACGAGCTCACTACGCAGTCTATCATGTTCCTTTAGCACTGGAGTAAGGGCCTTGAACTTCTCATTGCTGACTGTCAATTGCTGCTGTTGACAAATTAGCCAGCTCACTAAGCACATCGCTAGGRATTCCTCTCAATACAACTCCATTGTTTTCCTTCAGCTCTTGAGTAAGAACTTGAACTCCTAAAAACCAAAGCTCACTTACAGAGGACCAAGTGGAATCATGATTGTCATTTTCAGCTTTGCAAAATTTCTCAGACTCTTTGAGGAAAAAYACAATTGAGGTGAAAAAAGACACAAAATTCACTGCTGAAATATCAGCACTTTCTTTGAGATATCTTATCAACATTAGACCAAGAACAACCATGTTTGCAAGAAGAATGAAGTTTTCTTTGGAGTTTGCTATTTTGGATGTATTCACTGCTACATGAGAAAGAAGTTCTTTGAAGGATCTATCRTTCTTCACAAGATTTTCTTCTGTAACAGCAAAGTTCAGAAACACRCCAAGTAAYGTAACCAAAGCTGTCTTRGAGTYRGCTGAGTTGTMTTTCTCACAGCGTTTCCAAAGCACGAGGTAGTACTTCATAAGTGTATCAATGAATGCATTTTCTGTAAGGATTTTTCTGGATTTCTCATCTGAGGAGAAGTGGCACAGAGCAGGTAACATCAAACGAATCATTTCAACATTTCTGTCATTATTGGGACTGTTACATGAGTTTTCTTCAGTTTCTAAAGACAAAGCAATTTAGTTTAATACTTGTAATATTTGTATACGAGTAAATTGGAAAATTGTATTAAGAATAATTATTCTATCTATGGCACATTTAATAGGAAATTGGAAAATATTTTGCACTAGTTTGTCTAATTTAATTTGAGAACCATTTCACAGAGATTGAATGCACTTTAACATTTTTCCTTAAATCAAAGGTTTTCATGGTCTCCTATGTCATTTTGAAATATAACCATACCTTTGCACACAAGCAAGAAGACCAGTAAATGCATTTGCAATGGCAGACACCTTTGAATAATTATCTATGAGTGTAGACAAAGGTCTATCATTGCACATTTACCAGTTGTCTTGCTTCAGTGTTAAAACAGGGTTACACTTCAAGATGGTGGAGGGTAGTGTGAGGGAGACAAAAGCTAAAAATAGAGTGCTTCTCAAAAGACAACCAAAAAATCATTAAATTGTTACACAGGTTTTTGGGAACCACTTTTATCCTTACCACTTTGGTTTGTTGGCATTGTATCCCTGGCAAGTTGTATCAGAAATGGTAAAACCTTGTTGACCTCTTTCTGCAATGCCATAGATTCTTCAGCTAGCCAGGCAAGCAAAACCCTAGCTGATGCCAACACCAAACCATTCTCTTCTTGTGAAGAAATCATATTTTCTTCATACTTGACTGATTCCTGTTGGAGAAAACCTAGAACTGACATCATGCTCTCAGTAATCTGGGAATAGATTGTAGTGACAACTTGTTCACTTGGTTTGTATGATTGGGTTTCCTGTGGCTCCTCAGTAATAGTAATGAGAAAAGAGATCACACTTTCAAGRATGTTGTAGCAGGCTGTCAGGAGTGTTGCTTTTTGAATCATTTCATCAATTGTGCTTTCATCTAAGATCATTCTAATCTCAATACTAACTGTAGTTGCAATTAAAGTAAAGAAGTCAGCCTTTTGGGTTTSTGGATTAGAGGTTGTCAGTAAGGCTAACTTGCYATCCTCATTTAATAGATCCACCATCACMGACACAAGRACTATTGCTGGGTCTCTTTGTAGTGATGTAACTTTCCCTTGWAGGATATCCCCTAAACCTGCACCCAAATCTGATACCAATTTGTTTGAATTACCTAGATATTSTAAAGCACTTCTAAATCCCTCRGCATTTGCAAGTGATAGCAAAGAAAGTAAATTTGTGCAATAGGTGAATTTATGAGAATCTTGCAATGTTTTGAGCTTCTCTGCACAGTATGCAACAAGATCAATCAAGGCCTTTGGATTTTCACTCCACAGTGATGTTGAAGCAAGTGAAGCTGTGTTCAAGAGAACTTGCCATGCKAAACTTGCTCTGGTAGATTCTGACATAATTACATTACAAAGACTTGATGTTGTTCCTTTCCGAGATAAAACCTTACAGCCCTCGACATGCGAACTAAAATGCTGTAGGATTTGATAGGCATCGTCGACTATCGCTTCATYATCAGGTGGGYTTGAAATTACTTCATTTAAAAAGCCAACTTTGGCCACCATTTGTGGATGCAACAACAACTCTTCRTTKGTGGCAAAGCATGCTAAAATAGCGACAGCTAAGGATTGGTACAGGTTATTGTCTGRAACATCCCTAGCYTTAAGAAGCCTGTTAATGAACGTGAAGCCAATTGCATCGTAAAGMAGTTTTCTCTGTGCGCTGTCGRTGTCGTTTGAATGAACCAAGCGTGTGACAAGAAGCAAAGCAGCGAACCTTTCGTTGTCCGTTTTTGCTGACTTGAAAATTGATRTACACTTGTTCAATGCAGCAGTCTGGTCATCCGCTGATTGGGGATTATTGTTGTTCAATTGAGGATCCATTTTCCATTCAAAGATACTGCAAAACGCTAAAGAAGTTCGCGTACGTATTACAAACGTTCACACGTGCCCGCCATCTTGTAATTCTGCACGTGCACTATTGTACATGACCACTGACTAAGAAAACGCAGGCTCGACCTGGCAACAAAATGGCGTCCTACAGCAACAAAACTTGGTGAAAAAAAAATGTGTGAAAACTCCTTGAATTGTTTTAATATGTGATAAAAAATAGCTCCTCGCTATGGCTAGTTTACTAGGGCATCTCCATGTATGGTCTATGAAGAAATTGCGCCCTGGAATAGGTAAAAGCCTGACATTTATTCATATAAAAACTTGAGATACTTGACACTGACAGTTGCAGAACAGCTGTTTTGTCCAGAGTTAATCATTTCTTTTTCAAAAAAATACAATATWTTTTGAAAATTGAATGCTTATTAAACGTGATATACAATGTACTACATGTTTTATTATGCGGATAAAATTTTAAGTTTATTAAAATTGATAATTCCAAAGGGAGTGACATTGGAAGCCACAGCTACCACGATAAGTCTTTAGGTGGGTGACATTTACTACTCAATAGAGCAAACTAAACTTTATAATTTATCAGTTATTATATTATTATTATTGATTTAGGGGTGTGCACTAGGGGGTTCCAGAACCCCACTTCTTGGCAGACAAATTCATTTTCAGATTTTCCAACAGGTTGATTTAGTGTGAATCCAAAACAACACTCATGCGTGCCATTAATCACCTTCTACACAGTCTTGAAACCCCTGGAACCCCGCTCATGAAATGCACACACCACCTTACACAATATAGTGTATGTTGTCTTTGTCTAAATAAAAGTTTGAAAGACCACTTCCTATGTTTTTTCTAAGAGTGACATTACTGTACAATAGGCCATTTGCATTATGGCGTAACTTTACTACAACTACCAGAGAGACTTGCGCATTTTCATTGTTATTCAGATTTTTAATCACCTTGGAGATTCATAAAACAATTGGCACTAATTGCATTACAAAAGAAAGTTGGCAAAGCATTCTGGTAGTTGTAGTGAGTGACGCTATAATGCAAATGGGTTATTACTCAATTAAACTGAAAATTGAATTGTATCTTTTTCAATTTTTTTCTGGSCTACAAAGSCACAAATGAAGACAGCCATACACAATATCGCAGACTCTGGGCTGAAGAACGAGGAATTTCTTGGACTCCTAAGAATAAAAGACCAGAAAGACTTAGAGATAGTCTCAAAGAAACTGAGGTAGACTTGCACATTATAATCATGATAATTAAAACATACATACTGGCAAGACTTGCTGTCCACGCTGGGTTCCCTGTATCAAAACCAACAATCCATTCATTGATAGATGCTAACTAGTCTTATGAATAATTTGTTTCCAAAAATTAAAGGAGACTTTGCAGAACTTTAAAGTTATTGTAACAAGATGGAGAACTTTGAGAACTTTACAGGTACTTTATAAATATATAATGGACAAGACAATTTTTTTTAGTTTCATGACACATCAGTTTGGGCTCATGGGTGCAATAGATCTTTCTCCAAAATGGCAAATACCTCTAAAGTCATACATTTGTCTGTAAAATAGACAGATGTAAGTCATATCTTTATGGATTTTCATCATTTTTTAAATACACTAGATTTTAACATGGATTGTCTCATATTATACAAAAATAAAAAAATAAATAATGTGTTAATGAGCGGCAGCCATTTTGGAAAAAAATTTGATGATCCAGGCTGGGCTGCCTGTGCCACAGTGTTTTTACATAATTCATGATTTATTGACACTGTTTTTMAGCTATTATTTTATAATGGAACAGTTATCACATGCCTGGTTTCCAGTCATTCTGGTGATGTAGAAAAGATATTTATTGATAAGTCATTGGTGGGAAAAATTCCTGACCAAGTGTGCAGTGGTAAGTAATGTATATGCTGTTTGTATTGTGATAAAAAGTGACTCCAGAAATTTTAATGATAGAATGCTCAATACTAACATGGTCTTGTTATTGTTGTTGTTGATGATGATGTTGCTGTCATGTTCATGTTGTTTTATTGTCTTCTTTTCAGCTATCATTACTGAAGGATTTCTTGTCTTTGCTTTCCTTGACAAATCTAAGTTGCTATATGTTCACTTGTCGAAAAAGTCTAGTTTGGATTTCAAGAAAGCTGAAAAAATTTCATCCCTGGAACCCAAGGTATTTATCACTTATTTGAGATTACTGTTAAAGTAGTGAAGATATAATTTTTGTAATCATAAAATGACATTAGGGCTATAAATAGTACAAAGACCACACCTACCATCATTCATAGGGTCACTGCACATTGTCTATTTAGAGTAATCACTCATTGCAAAATACATTAGATGATCGGATAATTTGAAACTAGTTCATCAGTTGAATAGATGAGATATTTCAATGCAGCTTTTAATTTTTTTTCAGCTTTCATTTACTGATCTTGTTGGTCCTACCAGTAAAAGAATGGAAAGGCACCTGTCAATCAATCAAAGACAAGACATGGTAACAAACATACTAAATATTACATTATTGTTACAAAAATTCCCCACCCCTCCCCTTGTGTGAAGAATTGGAGAGGATTTATCCAGATTATTATGTTTTGCTGTGTGTGATTGACAGATTGCAGTTTGGTGGGGTTCACAAAGTGAAGAAGTGTGGCCATGGTCTCCCATGACTGGAGAAAAGGACAGGTCCAATATGATCATCTTCGGCATTAGTGGGTTAGTACATTACTTGAATCTTAGTACGATTAATATCTTGCAGCAGGGGGAGGGACTGTGGAAATTTTGTCTCGTAACAAGCTTGCATCACACGGGTGGATCTTTCCTTTTCAAAAATAAATAATAAACAGGGTTCTCGCTACTCCTTGAAATCCTTGAAAACTCCTGGAATTGAAAACTTCTTTTCAAGAGCGCTTTAAAAGCCCTTGAAAATGGGAAAAATCGCTCAAACTCCTTGAAAACTCCTTGAATCTGGTGAAATTAACATATTGCCTTTTGCGTTATGGATTGAAATGTGTCTGTTTTTGAAAATCGCCACTGGAAACATTCGCAAACATCAAAAAATTTCTTCAAAAATATTCCTTGAAAATCGCATTTTTGTGCTTAAGAAGTACTTGAAAAGTCCTGGAATTTTGTAGTGAAAATTTTGCACGAACCCTGAATAAAAGAAAGCAACACAAGCTTTGTGTTGCAAAAAGAGAAAGGCAGAAGGCTTGCATTAGGAACAGTCTTCACCTCCAGGACTGTATTACAAGCATACTCATTCATATTGAGGGTTCTAGCCTTACGATAATTACCGCGTTTGAGATATCAGCTGAAGCATTTATTTATTTTCATTCCACGGTTTTAATCATTAAGCATAATTTTTCACAGCACAAAGCTGGAGATGCTGTGTTTTGTCAGAACAGACTGCGATCCAATTGATTTATCGTTTAGGTAGGTGATGCATTCATTGATTATCGAGCCATTGATTTATATTAAATTTATTAATTTATTATCATTTAACAGTCACAATCAGCCTCATCATGTTCTTACTTTGGAACAGTCCTTAAATGATGAAGAAACCTCAAGTGTTGATAACTGCATCTATGAATACACAAAGAATAAGGTATAATGAACATGTCAAAGAAATCGAGTCGTCTCTAGCTGAATAACAAATTTTATTGCAGACTGTTTCGTTCGCAACTGTGATCTTCTTTAGTGCAATGGCAAAATGCAAAGTGTGCACGCATAACTAACGGTTTTTTACACTAAAAGTACAATATGATTTGTGTGTGCGCTTCAGTTCTAAAGTTCCCCAAATGTTTGTCTAGCTCAGAATGCCAAGCTTTGAGATAAAGTCTTTGGTGGTACATGTMATTGATATAATAATGTACATGGATTTATCATTAATTATCTTACTGACAGATTGAAAGAGTTGCTGTCACCACAATACCAATAAACTGTAAGTGTTGCTTGGGATGTTGATTGCAATAAGCCTTAGTGTACACTTAGCAGCATTCAAAACATGCATGGAAGTTTTTTTTGTTTTTGTGCAAGTGCAATGTTGTTCTCTAATGTTTTTATTGTTTTCTTAAGCTGCTGTAAAAGTTCAAAAACGCAACCAAGCAGAAGATAAATTGCTTATAGGCTGTGAGAATGGAACCCTTGTAAGTATTCATTCACCAATCATTTCATTATGTCCTGCACTTGTTTGTTTGTTCATTTATTTATTCATTTATCCCATTCAATCCACTCATTTGCGTTGACTCTGTCTACTCACACCACCCCCCTCTGTTGTTTTTTTAGATGCTTTATGACAGTCATAGAAGAATAACACAGATGACAAACGCAGCCGTGGTAAGTAAAAACAATAATCTCCTTCACGGTTCCCCGCGCCATCTTGAAAGGTAGCCGTGCCTTTACATCGAAGCGCGACAACCGTTGAGCGTGCAATGATAGATACCTGTGAATAATTATCTGTCTGGTGTGAAAGAAGGTTTCTATCATTACACGCTCAACGGTCGTCTCGCTTCAATGCAAAGGCTCGGATACCTTTCAAGATGGTGCAGGGAACCTTGAAGAAGACTATTGCTAACACTTCTTCTTTCGTTTGTAAGACGCCCTATTACATTCAGTGGCACCCAGCAGATGTGGTTGTCCTTGTATGTGGAGAGAAAGGTGAAATTCAGGTACATTTTTTATTATTTAGTTTTAGCTTGATTTATACTTTTTTAAGATTAATGTTTCCATACAGGTATTTGACATGGCTTTGGCGCCACTGTTTATTCAACTCCTTGCTGCAAACCCGCAGCCTCAAAGAGTCCTGCAACTGAACAAATATTTCCAGTACGTAATACATCGCAGTAAATTATAACGCGCGCTATCATTGGTAGATCAACAATCTAACATGCATTGTCATTGGTAGATCCATGATATAAAGTGCGCTATCATTGGTAGATCAATAATCTAACACACATTGTCATTGGTCAATCCATGATATAAAGCGCGCTATCATTGGTAGTTCAACATTCTAAAACGCGTCATCATTGGTAGATCCATGATGTAAAGCGCACAATCATTTGGTAGATCAGTACTACATAAAGTTGTGATTTTGTATCAATAGGAATCCTCCAAGGCTTGACATTGTCACGTGGTCATGCGAGGCACCAATAATGAACATCACCGAAGGAAGTGTTGGTTGTCATGACAACTTGTTAATCTTGTTCGATGGGTTGGTATCAGTACTTTTTACTGTCTCTTGTTTTTTCCTCAAAATCGCTGAAATTATTTAATGCCCAGTGGAATGACAGTAAGTTAAAAGTGTTCGCATTAACAAGTGTCCGCTAAAAGGTAGTTAGTAGCGGGAATTCATTTACGATTTTTCGTATTATCTGAGTGTCCGTAATATCGGACTGCCAGTATTCTCGGGCTGACCGTTGGTAGTAATATCGGGCTGTCCGACATATCGGGGTGTTCGTAATATCTGGGTGTCAGTAATACCGGGCTGTCCGTAATATCGGGCTATCCTTAAAATTGGGGTTTCCGTAATATTGGTCTGTCAGCCGAATATCGAGCTGTCCGAAATATCGGGGTGTTCGTAATATCGAGGCGTCTGCGAGCTGAGAGTTATTACTCTTATTTATTCTTTAGAGGTCCTATGTGCATGATAAGAGTTGAACTTGGTGTCTTGAGTCATGGTAAACTCGGTGCAGTGGAGCTGGTCAGTGAATACATCAAACATGAACAGGGAGAACAGGTGAGTTAAAGAAAGACTCGGTGTAGTCTCCAGTGAAATATTTATTCATCTTTCGTGTTTATACGTCTTTTAGCATCAGTACTTTCAGAGAACAATGCGTTCGACTCGAATCACTAAATTATAACTCCTAAAAGAATTAAAAGCTTCTCAGCTAATGTCAAGTTATATTATAATACGATATAATGATAGATTATAGTTGACTTAGCAACTACGAAGTGTATTCTAAGGCACAACATAGTGATTCCGGTCTCACTTTTCAAGATGGCGGACACATTGTTCTCCGAAAGTACTGATGCATGTATTTAAGGGCCATCACCAAACTCCTTTAGGAGTTTTATGTTTTGAAAGGGAAACTACAGCGTAACATAAGGATAAACTTACTCTTTATTATACGTTTTCGCCCCATTTAAGAGAATCCGGAATTCAGTAAAAAAAAACAGGTTTGGAATCCGGAATCCGTATCCTGGAATCCGGAGTCCAAATATTTAGGAACCAGAATCCAGAATTCAGCAAAAATCCGGAATCCAAAACAAAAATTCTTTCGAATCAGGAATCTCAAGGCTTGGAGTCCGGGATCCAATATTTCGGAATCCGGAATCCAGCGCTTGGAATCCGGATTCCTCTAGTTCTCTGGATTCTTTTAATGTGTTTCGATGGGTCGACCGTTTGAACTCTATGAATTCAGATATTTGAAGTCACCTCATTTTCCATATAAAATCTAAAATACAACCGCAATGAATGCTGGTGACCCATGGCTCTTTAAGTTGGTTTGAAAACATCTGATTGGTTGACTTATTGTTCTTTCAATTCACAGGCTGTAAACTTTCTAAATAGCATGAATTGGAATACCGAAGGCAATGCTTGCTTTGCCTGTATGACGCTGATCATGACTTACTTGCTACGACTAACACTCAACTCGGAACGCGAGGGTCTTCTCGAGGAGACACTTGGTAGCTTTTATGCGCCTAGTCGGCCGCTTAGTGACGTCACAGTCCTTCAGTTCAGGGATCCCATCAGTAGATTGTCACGACGGTTTTTTCATCATCTCTTGAGGTATCGTAAACGAAGAATTAACGAACTATAGCTATAGTAATTGCCTCTTTCACAGGCTTTCGAACATGCTTGAAGTTTAGCTGCAACTTCGCGGCAATTTTCGATCGCCGCAACAATCGCCGTGCTGTTTACACATACTATTTTAGGTGCGCGATCGCGCTTCAAAAATCGCAAGTTTAAACGGGGCTTAAGGAAACGGATTTTTTTCTCTTCTATTTCTTCCTGTGTTGATTTATCCTGACCGAGAAAAAACTGGTGTCGAGAGATTAGAAACAACGAACAGAAATCCCGCGGAATAGAGTTGCATGCCAAAATTCTCATCGCTAACATACATCAATAGCCCTATATATTATTGATATATAAGTTAGTAGCCAGAATTTTGTCAACTGACTGTAACTATTGTTCCATAGATACAAGAGGTTTGAGAAAGCGTTTCTTCTTGCTGTGGATATTGGCGCCAAAGACTTGTTTATGGTTAGTATTAAACCTACATTCATCGATTTCATTTTACAAGGCCAAGTTTTATGAACCGCGCTGGACAGGATGGCTTGTTTCTCTTCTTCTAAGGGAAAAAAAACTAAAAGAAGAATGAAAAACTTGGGATGATTTAAGCCAGGTTGACATCAACCCAGAGTAGCTTTGATCACACAACGTGCCCTTGATAATGCTCTTTCTATGCATTTTTTTTCAAACTGTCTTGTATATTCATAGCCTGCGTTACATCCGGTTTTATTTGTCAAATAAATCCGGATGTATCTCAGGCTAATATATTCATTACTGTTCAGGATATCCACTATCTGTCAATGGATGTTGGGAACTATGCTTTAGCTGATGTCGCAAAACAAAGAGCAATACAGATCGATAACGAATCATTAAGTGCTTCAGGTAAAGTACTTTATCACGTCACATGAAAGATAAGTACAGATCGCCAATTCTTTTATTCCCATAAGCCAGTCATTTTTTGTACACACAAAACATGCTGGATCTGTAACATTTGAGGGCATTTACTCCGACGAAGGATCAACGAAACGTCAATAAGTTGTTTCACCTATTTTTTAAGGTGTTACTGTAACATCCAACACCATCCAACAAGTTTGCTACATGCTGAATGTTATAATGTATAAAGGTGTTGGTGATCCGACATTTCTCATTTTTGTGACGATTAGCTTTGCCTTCCAGACACTGGAGAATCATACGATGAAGACTCATACGAGGGCTCTGTTGAAAATGACCGGGAAAACGTGGAAACGAGAGATTACAGATCACGTGAAAACAATGTGAACCAATCACGAGGAAGAATTCCAGAGAGATACAACCAAGATTCACCAGCTAGTTCAAGTCCTTACTCGTCGAGAAGAGGTAGCTTATATTTGATGTAAAGTACTGTTAAGGTCAACGTTTTGAGAAAATCGTTACGCGAGGAAATGACTTCTAAGTTGACGTTTTAATGATATTTTTTTTTTATTTTCATGCTTTGTGCAGGAGTGGATTCATCACCCCAGCCTTCTTCGTCAGAAAGCTCGAATCATCAGGAACCTTCTACGTCTGGAGCTGCATCTGGAGGAACTCTAAAGATAGTACATTTTGGCGTGGTTTGAAAGTATTTGCAATCTTAATAGAACTTTTATACATGATCTAAGGCAATTATTGGGACCATGACTAAACAATTCTTGATCTCCTCCCCCTACCTTTTCACCTGTTTGAATTAAATCGCCATTTCCTGATCCGCATTCCTGGTATATTTGAAAACATTCTCGTACCCAGATCCTTCTCAGTTTGTCATCGGTATACGGTCTCTGGATGGAGACGAATCAATCTTTGATTCGATTGGTTCAAAAATTCCCATGCATCATTAGCATGCATGTATCGTACGACGCAGATTTTGGGTCTATCTTCGATTTTCCATTGGAAACTGAAAAGAATCTGGGTACGAGGATAATTTGAAAACATTTACAAATTTTGAGGAAACTCTATGCAAAACCTTAAAGCTCCTTCAAATAGATGTTATAAGTAATCGCTGTATATTAACCTAAATTCGAATATTTGATTAGTGAAAATGAGAGCTCACATTATTATCACGCTAAATGAAGATGTATTCTAAGTTTTTATATTTATTATGTATAAAAATTAATGCCATATAATAAATATCTAATAAGTCAATTGATGTTCGGCCTGTATCTTCAATTGTGGAATTCCTGGAGAATGCCGAGGACACATTGTACACGAAGGTCCAGTGTTTACTGTCTTGTATTAACATTACCAAGAAAAACTAATTAAAAAGCCTTAGGAGCTTCTACAAAGTCTGAGGGCAGCAATTGTAGTTCTTTTGGGTACTAAAACCTTTGTTGGAAGTCTTCTCTGCTGTGCTGAAAAGACATGGACGAGCGATGGGCATATATTATTCTCTGAGCAAGAACTAAATTGTGACCCTGATACTTGTTTTGGATCACACTTTGATACAAATGCATACCAAGGAGGGGTGGCATTGCACTGTGTTGTCAGTTGTCTTCTCTGACAGTTTGCTTGCAACTGAGATAATATAACAGCTGGCCAATCAAGTTATCGATCTTGGCAGAAGTGGCAGCATGCAAAAAAAGATATGACTTGGAGACTCCAAATCTGTATTGGCTGATCATGATAAGTAATTACAAGGATTTTCGCATTTAGAGTAGTATATATCTCTCCTCTTCCTTGCATTTTTCCCCTTTCTCCTCATCCTCCTCCTCGTCCTACACTGAGGTTTCATTTGAGCTAAATCATGACCGACTGTAATTTATAATACAATTTGAAAATGTTGTTCCATTTGAAAATTATACCGCTGTTACAAAAGTATAATTACATGTAACAGTCCATGTGTTTCATTGTAAATGAAAATTCCCACAGATTAAAATCAATCAACGAAGATAACTTTCACTAATAAGTGGGACACGCAACTGCATCACAAAGCCGTCGACAAAATTGCAACACTAAGAATATTGGACATCTGAAACTCAAGTTTGGGATCATCTTTGCAGAGAAAGCATTAGAACCAATGAGGGTCCAAACGTGTATACTGTTGATGGTTCTCAACGGTTTTCTTCATATTCTGGATGCGCTTCCTTTTCATAAAGGTTTGCGGAAAGACATCAGCATTCATCCCTCAAGAATTCACAATCTTAAGCCTTGATCCAAAACTTGTAGAGCATTTCAAACAATTCTAGGTGCACTCACGTTTTTGTACAACCGATTGTATACTTTACTGTTTCGCCACCTTGTTATTCTATGGTGTTAGATTAATGTTCAACCACAAAACTTTGCTTCGTGATGTTAAAAAAATTTCGGTTGAGGATTCCTAAGATAGCATTATTCGTTTTGATCTTTCTTCTTGCTCAAGTTGACAATTTAGAGAATTTTCAACATCCAAATCAATTCGAAAACTTGCTTTTTTTCCGTTTTCATACAATCAGGAAGCTACCAGTACGAAAGAGAGGATGGAGCGCTGACCGTAAGAGAAGGTAAAGTCTCATGATTTCTTATTTTGTACTAAATTGAAAGACATTTGATTTTTCAGTCGATCGATCTCTTCCTCGATTGATGAGCTGTCTCGTCGACTAAATCCATGACCCAAATATTGCCAATAGTCTCCTTCACGGTTCCCTGCGCCATCTTGAAAGGTAGCCGTGCCTTGTCATCGAAGCGAGACAACCGTTGAGCGTGCAATGATAGAAACCTTCTTTCACACCTATAGACAATTATTCACAGGTATCTATCATTGCACGCTCAACGGTTGTCTCGCTTCGATGACAAGACACGGCTACCTTTCAAGATGGCGCAGGCATCCGTGAAGGAGACTATTGCTAGTGTTGATTTATTGACGAAAGCTCGATTTTTTTCTCAAATTAGAAGAGAAGCAAAAGCGAGAGGGGGAAAAGGCAGTTACAAAGATGGATGACGAATGATGACAAGAATGGAAAGGAGAAGAATGATGACAAGAAGAATGGTAAGAAGAATAATCCTCAAGTTAAGAATAAAAACGGTACAAAAATAACCCCAAGAACTAGCTTCGGCGAGGAAAGTCACAGGAAATGTGCATAAACAAAGTAAAAAGTCTTGAAAAAGTAGCAAAGAAAGTCAAAATTAGCACACAAAAAAGTAAAGCAGATTGCGATCAAAAGGAGCAACAACAAGACACACCGAAACAAGAAGAAAGAACTGTTGCATCATCAAGAATATCTGTCCTTTGTTCTGCATGGTTTTAAGGCTGGTATTTAGAATGATTGAAGTGACCTTGAAATACATCATGTTGTAATATCTCAAGTGACTGTTAGTAAAAATGCGTTTTGTTTAAAGAAAGAATAATTTAACGTTTTTTTGTTGTGTTTTTGTTTTTGTTTTTCATTAAGGTTCATCAAGTTCTTCCTCTGCAGGTGCGAAGTCTTCAGGTACTAAAATTAAAATGTGTGAGCATTCTGAAATTCATTTTACATGTAACTTCCCTCTTCTTGCTGGTGGTTTAATACTTCGCGGTTTCCATGATRTTTGGGTAAATTTGTCTTGGTGTTTCCGWAACAAATATTTTTTTACGGGATAGAGCTGTTATCCCTATGCCCAACCCATTACATGCATGTAATTGTAATACTTATATTTTTCATTTTTAAAGCTTGTATGCTAATAAAGGTTTATAYTTTTCAAGGTGTTTGCAATCCCCAATGCGCGGACAACGAGACTTGTATTGATGATGGAAGTGGCAACTTTTCCTGTGCACCCGGTATGCATTAACATTCCCAAATCTATTGAATCACGGATCCTGAATCMAATCTAGTATGACGGCCAGCGAAATTTGCTATTTTTAACTCACTTTTTTAACTACTTTTTTTAAKGTGACGGAGTAGTAGATTCATCAAGTTCTTCCTCTGCAGGTGCGACGCCTCCAGGTACTGAAAATAAAAGATTACTAAAACATTTAAGCACATTTATATTGTAGTTATTATGGATTGTATGCTTATAAAAGTTTGTATTTTTATCAGGTGTTTGCCGTCCTCAATGCGCGGACAACGAGACTTGTGAGAATGATGGAAATGGCAACTTTTCCTGTTGGCGTGGTATGTATATAAAACTTCACAATCTATTAAATCAAAAATCTTGAATACAAACTGTCTATGTACGAAAAATGCTTAAGGTTACTCTAACTTTAAACAGCCAGCGAAATTTTCCATCTTTTAACTTATACTGTTCCCATCAAAACCACTTGTACAATGTTCACATGTATTAGGTGAATAATTTGAGCTAATTTGAAATCGCCTTGGTCAACGAGGAGCCGATGTTCRAACAATGCGTCCTCAATGTTTTGCCTTCATACGCGCAAAAACATATGAAAGGCTTTGTATACCGTATTATAGGTTGTTAGCATTCTATCCGATCGACGTGCATCATATTGACATGGTTGTTCTAATTCCGAGTAGCGATAATACAGGGCTAACTTYATAGGTTTTCTAAGASTTAACCCAGGATTAGTGCTAATCGGGCTTTGGATAACCCGGCCCTGCAGAACTGTGACAAACCGAACGAATTTYCKTTATYTATCTTTTCCATCTTCATAGAGTGATCGCACTTAATCCGTGCAACTGTACAAAATCTAAGTAGTTCTAATTTGTACTAAAAGTGGACCTGAAGCAAGACGGTATTGAATGCTTCATTTGTATCAATTCAATTTAATTTGCGTACCGCATGCGCGATTTACTAAATAMAACTAAATAGCACTATTTAGTTTGTACGGTTGCACGGTTTAAGTGCGATTACTCTGAATTAGATTAATTCTGCAGTTTTCGATTGTATAACMCTACTTTAAAAACAATCATTGAATTCTGTTTTTTTGTTGGTTGTTTCAGACAAGGGTGAGAAGGGCGGTTTTGACGTCTTCGGCTGATGGCACTGACCAGCACCATAACGATGAACCATTAATGATCTGAAATCTTTCTTATATTGGATGGTATTATATATTGTCATTCAAATATAATATGTATATATCAAACTCTGACTCATTTACATTCGTTTTGCGCGCTCTGATTGCTCCAAGTCATTCTGTATATGTTTGATTTAAAAWGACTTTTCTTCGTTTTGTCCTTCAAAATCTTAACCAGCTGTCGACAGGCCTTGACCCTAACCTTGACTTCACAAGTTCTAGCTCCACGTGCATAATTTGTAGAAAAAATTTACAAAGAAGTAGAACAAAAGATTTCCAAACCATTCCCCTCTATTAATTGTCGCATGGGCCAACCTCTGTTCGACGCGTTCCATGACCTAACTTGCTCAGCATCGCTGCAGTTATAGTGTATACATCGAGATACGTGTTATTTTACATATTGAATAATTGAAAACCATGTCCGTCAATGATATGAACAGCATGTGTGTTGACAGCATCTAATGCTAGATGTGTGGCGCGATTCTATTATAATTTGCCATAATTTGTCAACAGCGCCAATAAAGTACGCTGCTGTTCCTTCAATTTCATTCATTTACAATTGGCCAAGGGTCCAATTTRATCATTAACATGTTAGAAATAGATGGTTGGTAAACTTTGTAAAAGAGTTAGCATAAAACCTAGCTAGATATATCTATATATACACATACCATTTAAGATACTAAATACTTTTTCAAAATACATCTTTTCATGTACATCTATTTTTCCTTTTGAAACTGCCTATTCTTTTTTCAATCATCTAGATTTAAATAAAGTATTTTTTGAAAACTGGGAGTATTCAAAGCACTCTAGTTTTATTGATTTTACTTGAATTCGAAAGCAATGAACACTGAAAAAATTGAATATCGCAGTTTTTTCACWTTSACATGTTAGTGACACTTCAACAAAAGATTTATCATCAGTATTCAATCAATGACAATGAAACTAATTGAGACTGTTCAAAAAACTGAACCCTTTTAATTAAAAAATAGTTGGAGGTCGCTGTGTTCACGATGAAATTGTATCGATCTTTGAAAATGTTATTCCATGGATCTGAAAATGATTACCGATATATGTTACAAACCCAATCGCTGCAATGGTACAAAATTTGTAAAACACAACGGGAAAGCATTGTATGGCTAGAAATATGGAAATTATTGTCGAGAACATAGAACAGGTTGCCATAGTCAAGTTGTTCACCTTTGGCAGAAGTGGCAACATCAAAGATGAAACTTCAAATCTGCATTGTGCTAATCGTTCTCGGTGGTTTTCTTCATGTTCTGGATGCTTTTCCCTTTCATAAAGGTAATTTGCAAAACTCCAATTTACTAAAATACCCCTGATAAAATGCATTTGGTGAATGYATTTGTTGAAAGTCTTCCGTCAATGATTTGGACAAATCGTGAAAACAACTTACGAAGGAGGTGTGCAAAGTTTTATTTTTGTTATGTTAGAGGGATATAAACAAGATAATAATAGAATCAATCATTGTGCTTCTTAGAATCTGGTGATTCTCTTTAGTTCTTTTCAATGTTTATTTTGCTCCAACAGGATTTCGTAAATTTATCAAGACACAATTACATAAAGGTAAAGGCATTTATTAAAAAAAWTACTACCTGAAAAAAGGACCAACAACAACAACATAATCCATGTCGATCCAACAGTTTGATACATTCATTGAAATGATTAGAATAATTTCAGTGTAACAACAACAACGGAAAACMAACAAATAAACAAACAAAAGTTTGACCATCAAAGTAGTAAACAGCTATACGTTGAATTTTGGTAGAGTGAAAGCACTTGCAATGAAGTAAAAAAAATAGTTTAGAAAATGAGCAATCCAGGGTTAAATGTACTATTTATAAATTGCTTCTATTTTTAAGGTCGCTGTTTACTTAAATGCTTGGCTTGGGAAATTTGTAAAATTAGAAATGGAATACCCCAGTGCGTCTGTAAGTCATTTCTAGCAATCGTTTCCTAAACGATGTTTTCTTTCCTCGGAATTGTAATCATTTCAATAGATAGCCACTTATTACTCGCTTATTGTTTATAAAAGAATTTCTTGTTAGTTAATCTTTATGAATGATGTTTCTCCTTCTATTTTATAGATAGCGYGGGTATCGAAATGTACGGCTAAACAATCGCAAGAAGATTCAACACCTCAAAAGAGTTTAATTTATTGACAAAGTGGCTGTTAATTGCTAAATGTATCGTATTCAAATAATAAAAAAGAAGCATTAAACTTTATGTCATTTCTTTTTTCATGTTCACAGAAATTCATCTCTTTTCTATTCCCAATTTGTTGTTGTCGATAGTGTTTTTTTTTATTCTTGATGCCAAAAAACGAGTTCGGTTGTTTAATTTTAGGCACAGTTTTCTCAGAATGAGTTGTTAGGCTGCCTGTAGCCGGTTGCCGTGCTGGCTCGTCATGCTGGTTTACTCGGATTACTCGGTCACTTATTCAATTATTTATTTATTTTCTTTTCGATGATTGAGTTTGCGCAGGCATAAATTTCCTTTTGATCAATGTTCTCCAATTGTACTACAAGCACATACATGTATACGCATATTGCGCGATAAAGAATTTCTGGCACACTCAAAATTGAGAAAGTTTCTCAATTATTGTTCTCATRTCAAGATATTCTTGACGTGGAAATTCACACGCTTTTTAAAGTTTGTTTTCAGTGTAGCTATGGATAGATTGAATGAACGAAATTCTATAATCCACTGTTTACAGTGAATTTGAATTTGTATTGAATTTGCCTCACCGAACAGATTTCAATGATTCCGTGCTGGTTGCAATTACTGGGCTGCCTGTGGTTAATTTCCACGCTGGTTTATTCGGATTGTTTAAGTGGTTTCACCAATTTTGTTATTTGAAAATCGTATTGTTGTGCAATAAGAAATGTGTTTTATTTGGAGTCCTGAAGATCATGAAAGGCATCTCTAATTTGGATTTGATTTGTGTAGTCATTGTGAAATGGCAGAGCGCAGCTTGATATATATACAGATGTTATGCAGGTTAACATAAAAACAATACTCCTGAAAAAAAGAAAAAGGGCTCGTGCTGAAGATCATGGAGGATATCGCTTATTTGGATTTAATTTCTGCAATCATTGTAAATTAACAAAGTACAGCTTGATAGATATTCATGTGATATCTATAATCACTGAAGGTTAGCATAAGAGCAAGTGACACTGTCGCAAAAAAATGAGAATTTAGGCTCACGCTGTGTTGGTAGCGTATATTATACTWATGTCAGACTTTTGTACCTGGAAAGCAGTCGACTTTTGTGATCTTCGAAGGTAACAGCAGAAAAATATGAGGCTCCAAGTGCTGATCAGTGTCTTCTGTTTTCTTCAATTCCTGGATGCTCTTCCTTTTCATCAAGGTCAGTAAAGATCAGTTAAGACAAAACTGTTACGAAATTGAGATGGGAACACTTATTGATCGTTGTAAATCAGAGTAAAAAGATAAAATTTGCTGCACTTTTTAAAGTTTAAAATTGTTTTAACAAGAATTCAAAGACGTTTTGAATTTTATTTTTCTTATAAGYAAATTATTTTAAAAGGTACATCGAGAAGCTAAATTTCAACTATCTTGTTTGCGACTTTTATGCAATTTCCAGAAAGGTACAACTACGACAAAGATGGTGATGGTATGTTGAGCGAAAGAGAAGGTAAAGTCTGTTCGTACTTTCCTATATTTGGCATGAAACGAAAACTATTGAGTATATATCTAGTTGAATTCTCATTGTTTAATGTATTGACGAAGGACATTTTTTTTCTAAAACTATTAGAAAAGTTGAAACAAGAGACAGAAGGAGAAATGGTGGT